GCGCGGGCGCCCGCCTTAAAGGGGAGTGTCCTTGTTAAAGGGGTGGGAGGGGCTCGCGCCTCCGCCAACCTCGCAGTTCGGTGCGGAGGAGGCTGGAGCGGACGCACCGCCCCCTCCTTCTCCCGTTCCCGGCGCCGCGCATAATTACCTTATCAGCTCCGGTGCCCCGCCCCCATCCGAGCAGCACGAATCCAGTGCGTGTTCCCGTTCCTCCATCCCTGCTGCCTAGCCTCAAGCCTCGTCAGGTCCCCCTGGGATCAAAGCAACGGTCTCCTGACTAGTTTCCCTCTGGGTCTTCTCCCAGCAATCTGGGCACGGCAACCTGTGTGATCGGATCACTGCATGCTTCTTTACAAAATATAGCGAAGCCTGTTAATGCTGACAGTCTTAGTGAGGGTGCTGCCCCAGGCATGCTCATTCTGCTGGCAGGTAAAACCCTCATAAACAATATGACATTATGTATCAAATGCCTTAAAACATTCATCCCATTTATCCGGTATTGTTCCCGTCTTTAGGAAATAATGAGGATACATATTTACGCAAAATGATAACATATTTACTTATCGTTGTAAACAGCTGGAAACTAGGAAGGCACTAATAGAAGACTTAAATAATGACCCACCCATACGATGGAACAATATTTTGTAATTAAAAATCATGTTTACGAAAACAGTTATTGACATGAGAAAATGTTCATGAGGTAATGCTAGGTGAAAAAGCAAAACAAAACTATTTGTGGTGTTAAAATTTTGTTGATAATTCATATTTGCATAGAAAAAAAAAGACTAGAAGGGTGTTACGTGATATTAACAGTAGTTATCGTCATGAATAATTGTTTTTACTTTTTCTTTAAACATTTCAGTAATTTCTAAATGTTTTCCAAATGAACATTACTTTGAGATGGGGGGGGAGTTTATAAAAAGCAAAGCAAATCACCCCATATCATTTTGAAGAATTCACTTTCTTTAACTTGAGGTGGTTAAAAGGGCAGGGTTTTTGGAGCCAGAGGGTTCTGGATCTGAATTCTGTTTCTCTTACTAATTGTCTGTGAATCCGGCAAGAGTTTAACTTCTCTAGGGCATAGTTTCATTATGTAAGATCTAAGGGTAGAGCCAATGGCTAAGGGGTGAGAGAAAAAGTTTCTTAAATGGAATCCTCACCTTACAAGTTGTTACCAACCCAAAGAATTCCCATCCTCGTACACAGAACAAGATTGCAGACCAGGGCTGGAAATGTAACAGTGATAGAGTGCTCACCTAGCATGCCAAAGCTCACTCTATGAGTGGGTCAGTGTAGCTGCATGAGTAAACACCTTATTCTTATTCTGCTTTCCCTCATCCCTCCAAGAGGTAGCCCCAGAAGGCTATCTAAATGGTTTCCCAAACTATGCTGTAGTCTCATAGTTTCCCAAACTATGCTCTTAGATCTCTCAGCAGTGGTGGACACAGCAGCAACACAGTACTGTATTAGTCTCCTAGGGCTGCCAAATCAAAGTACCAATAATAACTGGTCAGTTTTAAATAACAGAATTTTTTTTCCCTTTCAACATTCTGACAGCTAGAAATAAGAAACATGGTGTTGGCAAGACATGCCCTCTCTGGGGTCTCTAGGGAAGAATGCTTCCTTGCCTCTTGTAGCTTCTGGTGGTTCCCAGAATCCCTGGTGTTCTTCTGCTAGTGGAAGCATCACTCCAGTCCCACCTCCATCTTACAAGGCTGGCTTTCCTCTGACTGTCTCTGCATTCACATTTCTCTCTTCTTATAAAGACATCAATTATTGGATTAGAGCCCAATTTGGAGTAGAGAGGATGGTCAAGGAGTGGAAATCCACAGACTACAGGTGGACATGAATGGGGGTGGGCATATTCAACCCAGTACTGTCACCAGTCCCTGCTGTTGGGAAGAGGAAGCTGACCACTCAGGAGCATATTTCTGAGGCTAAGTGGGAAAGAGCTGTCCTTCCTTCGCCTTGCTAATTCACACCTGTGCTCTTTGCTCCCTCCCACAGCCTGGCCCAAGGATGCCTCCCAGATCTTTTTATATCCCTGAAGGCCACATAATAAAATACACATATTTATGGGATGCCATGTAATGTTTCCATACATGTATACATTGTATAATACTCAAATCAGGGTGGCATGTCTATCTTCTCAAACATTTATCATTTCTTGGTAGTAAAAACACTCCAAGTTCTTTTCTCTAGCTTTTTTGAAATATGTAGTACATTATCATTATCTATAGTTATCCTTCTGTGCAATAGAACAAAAAAACTATTTTGGGGTGGGGGTGGGGATTTAACCCAGAGGCACTTTACCAATGAGCTACATCCTAGCCCCCCTCCTCCTCCTCCTCCTCCTCCTCTTCCTCCTCCTCCTCTTCCTCTTCCTCCTCTTCCTCCTCCTCTTCCTCCTCCTCCTTCTTCTTCTTTCTTTTTCTTTTTTTTTAACTTTGAGACAAGTTCTCACTAAGCTGCTTAGGGTCTTGCTAAATTGCTGAGGTTGGCCTTGAACTTGCAATCTTCCTGTCTCAGTCTCCTGAGCCTTTAGGATTATGGGCATGTACCACCACTCCCAGCCAAAACTTACTTCTCTTATGTAACTATGACTTTGTACCTGCTGATCAGCCTTTCCCCATCTCCCCCCAACTCTCTCCAGCCTCTGGTAACCATTTTTCACTTAAGTGTCCATTAATCTTATGGATGGACCCATATCACTATCTATGAACTTTTCATCTCCTCTCTTTGTTCCTTTGTCCTGAGATTCCTTAGAGCTATCAGGAGTTACTTTCTAAGGAAAAAGTCTACCTTCCCCAAACCTCCAATGACTAGACCACCCAGTTTCACAGCTGCCATCTTGGTTACAGGACACACCTCTTAGGGGATTTCATGGGGTTTACCTTGGTGAGTACCAGGGCCATTAATCCCAGAAGGCAGTAGCTCATCATCATTATCCATTCTACAAGCACTTACTGAATACCAACAGTGTACCAGGCACAACATATACACATGAGTAAGTCTTGGCCCTTGCCCTCATGGAACTTCAACCTAATAGAGACAAGCATGAAAGGGTAAAAACCAGATTATAGATGCTGTGGAAAAAAAACACTAAAACTCAGTGGGGAAATACAGAGGGCATGGATGATTCAACTCTGCAGGGAAAAGGCTTGGAAAATCAAAGAGTGCTCTTCAGATAGACATGCCTGTTTGGGGCAAGGCAGGGGATGTCAGAAAACTGTTTTGCCTGGTATTTAGGGAAATAGTGAGCAGCATGGCATTATACCCAGAGGGTTCATGCTGAAGAGGCTGGTGATAGAGCCAAAAGGTAATGTTGGAGAGATAGGTAGACAGAGAAGTATACTTGGAAGACATCTAACCAGTGGGGTAAAGTGATGATATTTGTGTTTGCTGAACCAAGTGAACTTGAAGTTTGTGCAGAGGATGGTTGGAGGAAGGCAAGATTGGTGATAAGGAAACCAAAGAGTTGGCAATTCTATTAGCCCAGACAAGATCGGAGGAGGACCTGACCCCAGGCAGCCATTGTGAAGATGGAAAAGCCACCACCATCTTTTTTTTTTTGCAGGTTCTCACTAAGTTGTAAAGTCTGGCCTCAAACTTAGGATTCTCCCAACTCCCTGGCATTGCAGGCCTGTGCCACCCACCTGAGGAAATTTAAAGTGGTAGAAACAAGAAGACTGACTGGATGTGGGAGTTGAGGAAAGGGAATGGTCCCATGTAATTCCAAGACAATTTGATTTGGGTGACTGGCTGCTTGAGAATTCCATTCAGCAGAATAGGAAAGGCAGGTTTGGGGAAAGAAAATGAGTTTCTTGTTGGACACACTGAGTTTGAAAAGTATCTTGTGCCTGGAGTCATGAAAATGTGGCTTTGGAAGCCAGCAGCATATCATAGATGCTCAAATAGCTCAAGAAAGCACAAGAATTCTGCAATAGCCACAGGAAAGAAGAGACAGAGAAGTTATAGAAGTAGAAAGAGAATCTAGAGATGACAAAATCATGGAACCAAGGCAGGAGAGGCTTTGAAGAGGTCCCTAGTGTCTAATGTCAAAAAGAGGTCAAGTAAGACAAGGAACAAGAGTCTCTGAGGATTTGAGAATTTAACCCCCACTGGCGATGCTTACCTGGGCAGGTTCAGAGGAGAATGGAATGGAGGCATAACTTGAGGGACTGTATATAAATGGAAGTAGACTTAGGAAGACTGAGTGTCATCTATTCTTTAAAAAAGCTTGAAAGTGATGAAAAGGTGAAATTTGGATTTCTTTAAGAATAGTAGAACAGGTACTTTGAGCAAACTTCCTGCTTATGACTTCAAGTACTCAATAAACTAGCAAGACAATGAAGAATGCTCAACCCAAAGATGAAGAACAGTCCAGTGCTGTGGCACACATCCATAATCCCAGTGATTCAGGAGGCTGAGGCAGGACAAATGCAAGTTCAAAGCCAGCCTCAGCAACTTAACAAGGCCCTAAGCAACTTAGTGCCACCCTGTCTCGAAATTAAATATAAAAAAGGCTGGGGATGTGGCTCAGTGGTTAAGTGCCCCTTGGTTCAATCTCTGGTACCCTACCACCACCACAAAAAAAAAAAAAAAAAGAAAAGAAAGAAAACAAAACTGGTTGGCCATAGTAGTAGAGTACTTTCCTAACATGTGTGAGGCCTACGTTCAATCTCCAGTACCTCAAAAAACAAATAAAATTAAACTAAGAATCAAGAGAGGAAAGCAGTTCACCAAAGCTTGAAAGTATTTACATACCAGGTAAACTTGAACTTTGGTTTTTGAAGGCAATCAGGACACAGGAGACAAAGCCCAGACCCATCCCAAGTGGGGAATCAAGTAAGAGACCTTTTGCACAAAGCTGTGACCCACAATAGGTCACATTTAGTTTAAGGATCATCTAGAAATAACTCACACCTCTAAGAGACTACAAGGAGAGCTGCCTGTCTTGAACTTTGTCACTGAGTGAGAATGGGGAAAAAATCTTCCCTGAGAATTCATAACTGCAAGCTAGCCTCTGATTTGTTTTCATTCCAAACTCGCTCTACTTGGATGATTCAAAAAACTACTCACTATTTAGATTCAAGTTGTCCTGGGCCAAAAAACTTTCTGGTAGTGCCTAGAAGAAAGAAAAGCAAATCACCTCTAGAAGAACCCACCTTCAACCCAAGTTACAGGGAATTTTCATAGACAATATTTCAAGAAATACAATCTACATAGTAAAAAATTAAAAAACACCTGACCAGAGAGAAAAAATGAAAAGCAGTCAACTTATATAGTCATAGAAAATGACTTTTTGAAAATAAGGTTAACTAAAAAATGTATAAGTTATTCACAAGTTCAAGCATACTTTACTAATTGTTAGGTATTCACTAATAGAAGAGAAAACGTATACAAATTCTAGGTTAAGAGATTAAGGAAATAGAATAAGAAAATAGTCCAAGGAAGAGAGAAAGAAAAAAATAGGGCAATTTGAAATAACAAAATAATATGGATGAAAATAAATTCAATTATATGCATGATTGCAATAAATGTAAATGGACTAAATAATCCAATTTAAAAATAAAGATTTCCAAACTGAACAAGAGAAAGAATGAAAAGAGTATTGCAGAAGGGTACACAAGGTCAGGGGAGTGACCCTACTTTATTTTCTTGCTTAAATAAAAAGAGACTGCAACTTAGACTGTATAAGGAAACCAAGAGGAGTCCAAAGATACAGGAAGAATAAAGAGTAAGTGATAGAGTCAAAACCCAGAGTAGATGGTGAACACAGGATCAAGATCCAGAGGTACAGGGGCCAGCCTTGGCCTGGTGGAGAGACTGGAGGAAGGCATTTCATAAAGAGAAAGTTCACAGGCACAAGAGGGTCATCCTGATGTTCTGGTAAAGGTAAAGCCATGGCCTCTGTTTTGGTACAATGTACTCTTGTGGAAAAGTGGTATATGATAGTAGATGTGCTTGAGGAGAGGGGTAAGAGTTTGTAAAAGCCATTGTGGAGGATGAGAGGCATATACAGGGATATAGAAAGCAGAGAGAGATTGTCAGAGTGACACTGGGACACAGCCAGGATTGCAGTTCATAAAGTTGAGGTCACAGCAAGCCCCTTTATGGGGCTTGTTTTCTCTGGAAATGCTCAGCAGCTTTGGGTGGAAGCAGAAGATAAAGTGAAAGGGGTGGAGGTGAGGGTGTGAGGGCCTAGGGGCTGGTGGAGGGACAGTTAGGCTAGAGTGTTGAGGGAAGCAGGAGAGCAAATTAGATAATGGAAAAAAAAATCAAGACTGGGTACAGTGACATATACTGTCTCAGCTATTTGGGAAGCTGAGGTAGGAGTGATAGCTTAAGCCTAGGAGTTCAAGGACATCCTGGGCAACACGATGAGACCCATACCTCAAAATAAAAAGTGGGGGACTTAAAAGTGTGATGTGCCTCATGGCTGAGCATGGGGCACTGGCTAGAGCAACTGTTATGGTCTGAAAAGCTCAAAGACTTCAGTCAGTTGTCAGGGACCTAATGCAGTTCATCTGCAGTGGTCCCATGGGATGATGCCAAGTTGGGGTGTTACTGAAGAAAATTCTGCTGTGCTCTCCTTCTCTCTTTCTGCCGCAGAGGCTATTAAATAACTTTTGAGGAAAGCCTTCTTTCTTTCCTCTAACCTGAACATTGACCTTGTTCCACCTCACTGCTTCCTTGGTAAATAGGCCCTATGCCCTCAGCCTTGATGATTCATATTTTAGTTTCTATCTGGGCATGCCCAGTGGCCAGACAGGATTGTTCTCCCAGTCATCCTCCTGTTGTTATAGATCTCATAGCTTTCACCTTCTTACTGGTGCCCCTCTCTTTTAGGCCATTGGTGATGTTCCAGGCTAGAAGCTTAAAGCACACATCTCTGGCACCTCCCTACCTTCTGGCCACCCTCCCTGCAGTCCCCTAGATACACCACAGCATACCCATGTTCCAAAAGCTTCCTGCATTTGTCAGCTGCCTTCTCCAGGACATACAAGCTGTCTATTGCTTATAGTCATGACATTCTAAACCTTGAGAGGATTTTCAAAATTATTTAGTCTGATCCTGTTGTTTTATAGATGGAGAAACTGAGACCCGGAGAAGAAATATGTGCTGTCCGGGACAGAGCCCAAACTGGCAGTCAAGATCTCTACACAGTGAGAGCTTACTATTCATCCATACTGAGTTCTCCTATGCATAAAAATAGTGTTCAGAGACTGACCACAGACTCCTAAGAAATTTACCCTGGTTATTTATCTACCTTCACAGTAGCCCCACGAGAGACATGATATTATTTATCCCATTGCAGAGATGAGGAACTGAAGCATAGCTCAAGGTCATGAAGCAAATCCCCAACCCAACTGACACACCAAGCCCCTCAAAATTTTCCTCCTACTTGGATCCCAGGAGTGTATCATTCTCACTGGCTACTCCTGCCTCTTCTAGGGGAGTTTTTATGGTCTGCCTTCTGGCCACAGCTGTTGCACCAGGGCTGGACATCTGAACCAAGGGAAAGCAAGAAACAGATTGACTGAGCCACTTAAGTCCTCTCTTGGGAGTATTTGAACTAAGAAAATGCAGAAGCTAAGTTATTTAGATGGTGGTGCGAACAGGAGACCAGTACCTGGAAGCCACCATGAGCTAGGGTGAGCCAGGAGAAAAGAGTGGATCAAAGGCATGAGGGAAACAGAGAGAAAGAAACTGGGCTTACCCCAGCTGTGCTTGTGGGTGTGTCTGTGGACACACACCCTCCACCTTCACTAAACAGTCAAATAGTACCCAACACCCAGCACAGTGTCTTCTCAGATCCCATGAGATCTGACTGTATTTTCCACTACTGGGTTCTCTGAAATTCCCATCTGTCTTCTCAGGAAATCCTCTTTTCACTTCCACCGTTTGAGCATGTTGGTCCTTGCAGCCTATGAGCAGGCCTAAAACACCAGCTCGTGCAATCTACCGGCTCAGGGCCTGCTTCCCTCAGGAAGCCTCCCCCGCTCTGCGTTCTCATCTTCCCCAGGCAGATCATAAACCAACCGTGGCAGCCATAACTTCCATTTCCCTCCCACCATTTCACTCCTCCTTGATTGATTGACTCTTCTAACTTTGGGGTACCCATATTTCATTTTAACACTTGAAGCTGGACTATCCTTATTGCTATCAGCTTATATTCTAATAAATCCATGTGTTTATCCCTCATTTATTTATCCTCAGAGCCTGTATCAGATGTCTATGTGCCAGGCACTGGGTTAGGCCCTAGAAATGAGTATATGAAAGCTCTTAGTCCTTGCCCTCCAGGAGTTCACAGCCCAGGAGGGAAATCCGGATCCCCCTTGCCAAACTGGTCACACAACACAGACGCTGGTTTTATGATCCCAGCTACCTACACACACTCACACACGTACTCCAGACATGACGATGAGTCCTATCACCTTGTCACACACACTCAGACACAGGTTCTATCTTGTCGTCTCCGCTCCATTCCTCCACCCCCTTCCTCACACCTACTGCTACCTGTTTCCTGCCTGGCCTCTGACTACTCTCTGCTCAGGAAGATGCCCTACAGTCCTCCTTTACTTCTCTCTCTCTCTTTCTTTTGGTCCTTATTCTGTGGTACAGGAGTGTGTGTGTGTGTGTGTGTGTGTGTGTGTGTGTGTGTGTGTGTGTTTATGCTATTTTAAGACCCCAGCACTTTGCAAAAACCTGGTGGAGAATCCTGCCAAAGCCCCAGGGTGGGGGAGGGGAGGCTGGGCAATCTGAGCCCTGGGCAGACTGGGTGTCTGGGGAGCCAGGTTAGCAGCCGCCAGCTGCAGAGCCTGGGCTCAAACCACCGCCGCCCTTGACTGCTGCTTTCCTGGCCGCCGGGTCCCAGCCTGACCCAGTCCAGTCCATCCACCCCCACTTTGCCATGCCCAGCCCTCCTTCCTCTCCACTAGTTGCTTAGGAGTTTGCATACTAGGCATCATGTAAAATTGTTATGTTTCTGGAAACACACACACACGCCGAGAAGCCTTGAAATTCTTCTTGGAACAGGTCCAGGGATTTATTTATGAAATTCCCAGGGGGTGGGAGAGACAGAAGTCTGGACTTTGCAGACTGAGTGCTGAGCCGTCATCTCATCAACATAACCACGGCTCTAGTGTGCACTTACTACATGCCCCCTGCGGACCTGTGCCAGGCGGAGGGCTGGGGCACGCCCTTGGGCTCAGGACTCAGGGCGGCAGGGATGCCCTCTTCCTCCCTGCCTCCTCAAGAAGAAAAAACAGGCATGGTGTTACCTTATTTTGGCCACGGTCCCCAGCTCTGATCTCCCTGCTCCCTGTCCTGCTAGCCCCTCTCCTTGCTTTCTTTCTCACTGAGTATGCAGCCTCTCCCGGCTGCCCCCTCCACCTTAAAGTCCATGCTGCCTTGTGGATGGATGTGCAGGGCCTCCAAAGAAAGCCTTCATGGCTAGTTTCTACCCAAGTGAGAATTCGGGGAGCTGTAGTGTGCTCCATGTACTATTCCAATGTTGGCAGTTTGACATAGAACACAGTGAGGTTATGCCTCGGCGGCATGGCAGGGTCTGCCAGCGGCTGGAGGAAGCTTGATGTCCAAACCTCTTATGATGATTTCCAGTCCTCCCCTAGGACCTTAGGTGGGAATGGTCAGTGATGAAGCCAGGGAAAGGGATCAAAGGACTGTTTCCAGAAATCAAATGTGCAGAAGCTGTCTGCTGCCTTCAGGCCACTGGCTCGCTCTAACCCACAATTTGAGAGGTAACCTGGCAGGACTTTGGCTTCTGAGGCCTCACTTAACACTGCAGAGGTGGAAAGGGGTGAGTTCAAATGTGTCTTTAGCTCTGCCTTTGAGATGAAGCCATAGGATCAATCAATTCCCATAGAATGACTTTTTGTTTGTTTCTTTTTTTTTTTTTTTTGGGTGCTGGGGATGGAATCCACTAAACTACATCCCCATCTAAATAGCCATCTGATGCAAATGTCAAGATTTTACTCCAGAATTTTAGGGGTAAGATCTCAGTTGGAAAATATAGAATAGTCTGCCAGAGATGTATTAGACAGGGCTGAGGTTGTGGCTCAGTGGCAGAGCGCTTGCCCAGCATGCCTTAGGCACTGGGTTCTATCCACATTAAAAAACTAAATAAACAAAATAAAAGTATTGTGTCCTTCTGCAACTAAACATTTTTTTAAAAAAAAGTTGTGTTAGACAGTTTAGACAGGTTCACTGCACTTTGAAATGCAAGAAATGAGGGGCTTTTAAAAATCAAAGACCACCATCTAGAAAATAATCAAATCAGAGCACAGGTAATGAAATACGTTAAGTAAAAAATGAACATTGGAAGAACAATGTAGAGATGAATCCTGTAGAGATGACAGAACCTTCCCTACCCAGAGCATCCTAGGCTCCAGGCTCTGATGTTTAGAATCCTCACTTGTTAAAAAAAAAAAAAATTATATGTATATATATATATTTAAAACTAAAAAAGTCCAAATGGTCTCACAGACTGGAAGTTTCTCCCTTCTTTGGGAGGCCCCAGCCTAGTTACACAAAATGAGTTGGAGTGGGGAGCTATGCCTTCTAGCAGCCTCACTCAGGAAGGCATGCAGGTGTGGGCAGGCTCCCGCTTGGAAGCCTTCTGTAAATAGGCGGGCACAATCCTGCCTGGAAGGAGGGCCGTGTCAGCCTCTGAGGGCTTATACTCATTCCATGTGAGAGTGTGCACCCATTTGTGTGTGCATGAGCATGAACATGTACATGTTGGGAAAGGGTTTACTTAGCACTAAAGGCTCAGAAACATGTCCCACTCATGCCCCTAAAGCTATTCTAATGAACCAGGATCCTCCTCCCAGGTTTATGGAAAAATGTATCTGTGGGAAGTTACGAAGGCCCAAGTCTATTTCCAGAAACATTAGTAAAGATCATGGCCTTTGGATTTAGACAGATATGGGTTCAAATCCCAACCCTATTACTTGTTAGCTGTGTGATTTGGGGCCCATCACTTAACCCTTCTGACCTTTGGATTCGTCAGCTGTGATATGGGAATAATGATTTTCAGTCTTGCAAAACATGTGTTCGGATAGAGTGAAACTGTCCTTTATCAATTACCAAAGGCAGTAGAGATGAGAATTATGACTTAGGAGAGGTCAATGATGCTGGCAACTGAAGTCAGACTGCCAGTTTTTAATGTCACCACCTATAAAACAGGGATAGTGATGGCACCAACTTCATGGATTTGTGATGAAAATCAAATCATCAATACATACACAGCACATTTAATGGCATCTGGTTGTAGCACCAAGCTGGCCCCTGTGTGGTCCTTGCCCCAAGGCCCAGCCTGGCTGCAGAGCCTTTGTCCCAGCTTGCCCTGCCTGTGGCTTCTGGCCAGTTTTTCCTTACAGTAAAATCTGGTTTTTCCTCTGAGCTGGTCCTTCCCAGGCGTGCTGTTGTCATGGGAACCTAGAGAGGCTGCCTCGGTTTGGGGGAAAAGGGGTTGTTTATTAAAGCCAAAGAATCCCACCACAGCTATTGTAGCTCTAGAACAGTGGGCTCCCATAATCTAGTCCTGCAGAATAAAGCCAGCCAGTGGGCTTGGGGGAATCTGTCTATGGAGGGACTCTAAACAAAGAGCAAGGTGGGCCAAATCCCCTGATTCAATACTCTCTGCCACCATTTTTCTGTGGGTCTTCAAAAAAAAAACAAGGCCCAGTTTCCTGGTGGGGCTGAACAGATTCAAGACTTAGAATATCTAAGACTTTACAATTGATTTGCTACTCCTTTGCCTTTAGACAAATGAGGCATCTCAAGAGCAAGGTACAATTAGCTTCACTTAACAGGTTGGCAAACTGAGACTTAGAATGCCTGAAGTGACTTCCTAAGACATTTAGCTAGTAAAAATATAGAACCAACACCTGGAAACCAGGCTTCTGATCTTTGCCATTACTCTCTGAAATGCCTACAGGGAAGCAATGTGGAAGACAGAGGGAGAGAGGGGGCCAAGAACTGGTCCTCATAACCCCCGTGCATGCAATCTGTTTCTACCTTGGAAGGGGATTCTGAGAGGACAAAAAGCCACTTCATTCTCCTCCCACCAAAAGTTTACTCCTGAAAATTGACAATCTCTCCCTATCCCAGCCCTGGGGATTGAATCCATGGGTATTCTACTACTGAGCTACATCCTTAGCCATTTTAATTTTATTTTGAGGAAGGACCTCTCCAAGTTGCCCAGGCTGGCCTTGAACTTGCAGTTCTCCTGCCTCAATTTCCTGAGTCTCTGGCCTACCATGACCAGCTACTGATTTTTTTTTTTTTTTTTACTTTGTGGTGCTAGGTATCAAACCCAGGGCCTTGCACTGAGCTGTATCCCCACTCCTATCTCCCTCACCACACACACTTTTGTTTTTTGTAGCAAAACAGCAATATAGCATGACCTTGAAGAATTTTGTAATGTTGAACCTCATAATTCCACTTCTTAAAATTATCCCAAAGATCTCCATATACTTCTTGACCATTTGCAGGAATTTATTCTAAAAACATACTATAAAAAGATGAGTGCATAAAGATTTGACTTGAAAATATTATCACAGTGTCACCTGAAACACTTAAATGCTGGAAACAAATGTTCAAAAATAAAGAATTGCTCACATAAGGTACATACACATTAAGGGTTGTAGAAAAGTATTCAATGGGGACTGGGGTGTAGCTTACTGGAGAGGGTGAGGTTAGCATACATGAGGCCTTCAGTTCAATCCTCAGCACCAAAGAAGAGGAAAAAGAAGTTTTTAATGACATGAAAAAATGTTGATTATATACAGTTAGAGTAGGGAAAATCAGATTATAAAATGTGCACAGTACAGGGCTGGGGTTGTAGCTCAGTGGTAGAGTACTTGTCTCGCATGCGTGAGGCACTGGGTTCAATCCTGGGCACCTCATAAAAATAAATAAAATAAAATAAAGATATTGTGTCCATCTACAACTAAACAAAATTTTTAAAAACATGTACAGTATAGTGTAACATTTGTAAAAAAATTATGCACGAAAGGCAACTGGAACGATGTATAGCAAAATGTTTACAAGATTTCTCTGCTTGGTGAAATTAAAATATTTTCTTTTTGATTATCGGTATCAACATTTTCAAAGATTATTGCATATTAGTTTTAAAATTAAACCAGCAAAAGCTAATTTAAAATAGTTTTTGAGCA